CAGGAATATCTTCATAGGCATCAAAGTTTATACCGGTATTTTCTTGCTCGCCAAATTCTTGCTCTGTATCGTCATCATCCCCAAAAGGGTTCACTTCACGATCCCCCCTCCCACGGTCCCATCCACCACCTCTACTTCCCCATCCACCTCCACCTCCACGACTGCCACCACCATAACCAGAACGATTATAATCATTCCTGGGACCACCACCCCAGCGGGGCCCTACATTTCCAGATCGATCATTTCCCGCAGCAGGCCCACTATTTGCAGCAGCAGGTGGATCGGAGGAGGCTGGGCGATTCCGCAGATGCGGTGGAACATAGGTCGATCGGCCAGGTGCTGAAGTAGTTCCAGCACTACAATTGTTAGCAGAAGAACCACCAGCTACATTCTCAGCAGCCGAGCTTGCTGCCAAATCTGCCCACGAAGTTCGCATAGTCGGAGAACCTTACACGCGTGAAACAAAAAAGTTCACCACTCCACTCCAAATTGCAACAAATTCTGCACATTATTTATTAATAAACAAATTAACGCTGCTTATCAGAAAACAGAAGGTTTAAACATGCATAAAGAGGAATATTCGGGTGTAATGCGTCCCAATAAGCTAATCCTACGAGGAACTTTAAACGGAAACATGGAAAGCAATGCATCCTCTGATCGACCAAAAGAATGCCGAAAAACAACTATCAGAATCCAGACCTCTTTGAAAACTAAATTAATCGCTCTCAAACCCCAGATTCTTATTTCGCATAACAAGCATAAGCCGTGGAAGTAACAAAAACAGATAACCTTGATCTGCAGCAACAGCAACTAGATGACAGCTTAGGGAAACCCCAAGTTGATCAAAAAAATAAATATAACAAAATCAAGAAACAAAAAAAAAAAGAGTAGGAAATCATAACAATGCACGCAAGGACAAAGATACGGAGACGAAGAAGGGGGAAGAAGCTGAAGAACAGGAAGAACAAAAAAGACGCGGATACCTGAAAAGTCGCAAAAATAGTGGAAGATCCAGGAACCCTAATTTTCGTCGTAGCAGACAACAGGGAGAGATAAAAAAGCGCCTTGCTTCGAAAGAACGAAAACAAAAATATCTCCGTTTGCTGGATAATTATATATATATATACATAAATATATCCTATTTCGCGTTTTTTCTGCTTTTTCCCTCTTTTTTTCTTTTTCTTTTTCCTTTTTTTTCTTTTTTCTAAAAGTTTGGTTGGGTTTGGGTAAACCTTGTTTTCAAATTAAAATCAATTAAATTTCTCCCCACTTTCTTTCTCCTTCGAATTTATAAATAAATTTAGTTTTTAAAATAAATAAAAAACTAAATTACGACGTCCGTACGTATAGAGGGGCGATGCATATTGGAGAGGAGATTAGCGGTCCAAATCCTCTCCTCCCTTTTTCTTCCGATTTTTATTCTTTCTTCTCTAATTCTACCCGGCAGTTACTCACTAACTCACTGTGCAGTAAATCTACCTCTTTAACTACAATCCCTTCTTCTCAGAGAATAATATTTCCTTTTCCGTTTTTGTAGCAAATATTATTAATCAACATATTTCATATTTTAATCCTGTGATATTTTATTTTCATTTTTTTATTTTCTAATAATTATTAATCTATTAAATGTAGTTTTCCATATTCAACTATTATAAACTTTTTTGTAGCACGAGTACAATAAATACGAGGATCGATGATTAAACATCAACCTTCATAGAATAAGTAATATATACTGAACCGTGTTTATGTTAGAATTTTTTTAGTTTAACAAATAGTTGATGAGAATTTGAAAATCCGACCTATGTTGTAACTAGTTCAATTGTCATCATTACTTATTGATATATCAAACAAGATATCGACCTATGTTGCATTTCAAATAAATGTTTGACCAAAAATCATCGTGTTAAATGGTTTTTTTTTGCAAATTCTAATAATTAAAATATAACTGAATATATGGTATACAGTTACCAAAATATGATTTAAATTCAAAAATAATAAAATGGTTTATTATTTTGAATCTTCAATTTCCATACCATTTATAAAATGGTAATATCTCATGGGATATTATATATTTTTTAATATGTACAAATTACATATTTTTTAATATATACAAATTACATGTCGAAGATATCGTTCGTATTACTTTGAAAATTTATTGTTGGGATGAATGAAAATGTATGAATTGTATTTATTAAGTTGTGATTTTATGAAATAGATATTAAACAGATATTAAACTCGATAAACCAAAATAATGGTTAAATTTAAATTATTTTTTAAGTGAACTTAAACACAACTTTCTGCCCTTTTTTTATAAAAATATAATTAAAAATAATAGTTAAAGAAGAAAAACACGGGTGCTACTTTTCCACTCAGCGACATGGCTCATAGAACCTGGCCAGGTGGAAAAAATATTAGTCGTCCCGACCCCTACCAATTTCCCGTTTTAGTCCTTAAATTTACGAGACATTGTTGTTGTAACAAACCAAGTCCAGGATTCGAAATCCGGACTCAACACCTAATTGTCTCGACATTCTCATGCATCTCGTGCGATATGACTGCACAATCCATCTTTATCTAAGTACTTAGAAGAGTGAAGATTGCATCAAGCCTTGACTTTTTAGTTCTTGCGATTCAGCAATCGAAATGGAAGGTAAAGTTTTAATCATATATTAAAAAAAACAACAACAACTAAAGTTTTATCTCTAACTTTTTTTTTAATGAAAGTTTTATTATTTGAGTTTATGACAAAGGTACTAAAAACAATTAGAATCATTTTGAGGTGAAATTGGCAAATTAGAGTTTCTTGATGGGATGGCTTTTATCTTTCTTGATTGATAGGAATATCAGGTTGAGACTCATACATCAAAAAACATGTGCATTGCCGGAGGACAAACCTCCCATATATTATTGCTTTCTTGTTTTTATAAGATTTATAGCAAAACTGTAATCATCATTTCATTCTTAATTTTCAGTATCTTGAAATGTGTATTTATGATAAATATGCATTCTTAAATAATTAATAAAATGTGTACTTCAAAAGATTTAAAATTTTACAAAAAAAATCTCATTAAATTGTTTGGTTCAAAATGTTGTTAACTATGTCTATGGATGTTATTTGTCTTGATACGTATGTATTTGCTACATAAACATAGCTAACTAGTTAAGACATTTATCATCAACAGACATTTATCATCAACTAAATGGTAGAACCTACATGTTTAACTAAAAAACAATTATGGTATCCTACCAGCCATTCTAATTAACAACAATGTACACCTACTTATTTTTTCGACTTTCCTAGTTTGTTTATCTTTTTATAGTTTCATCTCATATATTCTATACATTAAATGTTCAAATAAGAGTTGATTATACTTAACAAAATATGTAAATGGCTGTTTCATTTGTCTTGTATTTAATATTATTTATAAGTGATCTATGAATTAGTTTGTGTAAGGATCCAATTGAATATTTTTGCAACCGAGCGTACAAATCGGAGGTACCTATTTAACACGTGAATGCTTGGGGAGGATTTGAGAATTAAAATAGTAAGAACTATTTTTAATCCATGAACACACATACTTTTTCATATGCTGATATACAAATGCAACTGAATTTAAAATTAGTCGCATTTTTTATCATGGCAAAACAAGTAACGTTTATCCATACCAAACAAGTATTACAATTGACGAGTTAGTACATATATGATCAAATTAAATAATGCAACTTAAAGAATCTCCATTATTTAACGTTACTCTAAAAAATGTGTTTGTCACCATTTGAACGAACAAGCTTAATCAACTTACTAATTGTGAATTTCATTGATATCAAATTAATTAATAAGTGTTAATTAATTAATTAATATCACTGTCTCATGTTAACTACATTATAAACCAACGATTACACTATCACACGGCAACATCTACCAACTCTTAACATAAAATTAAAATTTCATCAAAATTTCATATTAAACTCAAAAAGATGTTGGGTTGGACATACATACAAATTTATAACATAAATCACAGTAATTTAAACCATTGATAATTAAATATTTTATCGACCATACCCCTTAGTCAATCAATTAACCAATCACTACAAACTTTAAATGGTGCACAAACATGTATGGCACTGACACCCAATAGATAGAATTGAGGATGCATTGAGAGTTATTTTGAATGACCAAAATCACTCTCATTCATATTGTCATGTTTGTCAAATTAAAAAGTTGCTTTTAAGAAAGTTTAAAATAAATTTAAATTAATTTTTAAGGTATCACTCGGACGATGATTTTGGAAAATCAAATATATTGATTATATATATATATATATATATATTTTAAAATGAGTGATTCTACTCATCACTCACAAACAAACCTTAAGTCTCATTTGATAAAGCGCCTTAATCTATAATGCACATAAAATTATTTTATTACTAACTCGTGACCCATACAATTTCATACAATACTCTATATCAATTAGTGGACATCGAGAGTTGAAACCAGCCCACCTAGTTCATTGTAAATGTCGATAGGTAGGGTTATTCAATTGTGGAATTTATCCACATTAATCAAATTTAGTTTAATGCCAAACCTGATCTTGTTGAAACTAGTAATTTCTGTATATAGTTACTTAAATTTATGATGTAATTTGATGAAATTGAAATTATGAATCTGTGAAAATGGAAACGGGTTGCAAAAGGCAATGCGAAGTTTTTTCATCTCTCTCTGTCGCCTTGGGACTGCACCATCAGCCATTCACGTCCACAATCTTTATAACACTTCAAACCATAAACGGACAACGCTTTCCCACGCGCTCCCCCTTCCGGTGTTTCTCCTCACTCGCGCTGCCCGACTCTAACCATCAGACAACCCACCCGTTCATCTCACGCGCCAGCCATGAGAGTCGGGGATTACCTACTCCGCCTCGAACAAAATCCCATAAGAGTTTCTCTAATATTTCAATTTCTCAAAAGAGAGAGACGCTGCCAGAAAAAAAAAAGAAGAGAGAGAGAGAGAGGGAGATAGGCAGAAGGGGACAGGAAATTTTAACATTGATTTTTCCATCTTTCCTTTTTGTAATTAGAAGAGGACGGGGAAGAAGACGGAGTCCTTTTCTAGGGTTTTCCGACGGATCTTTTAGGGCTCACGAAATTCTATGACTTGAGGACACCACCACCGAATCGGCCGGATCTTGATCTGTGATTGCCTTCGTTATTGGAGAGAACAACCACCACCACCACACACGCGGGGGAAAATCATGGATTCGCTTTCTTTCAACTCCCATGGAAATCTGGACGAGCAGATTTCGCAGCTCATGCAGTGCAAGCCCTTGAACGAGCAGGAGGTACCCACTTTTTGTTTAATTTCATTTGATTTTTCGTGCTTTTCGTTTCTTCTTCCCCTTATGTTATAGAATCTCGACATGCCTTGCTTATTACTCGGGGGTTTTCGGTTGGTGTAAAAGCAATGCAATGGATCCGGCCTGATCTGTTACGGTTGCAGAGCAGGCTTGAGGTACTCGCGTGTTTTTGAGTCTCTGGGCTCTCTGGGTACCATGTGTGGGTTTGGATACCTTGGAGGCATTTTTAGGATAGATCTGGCTGTCGGGTTATTAGAAATATGCCAATTCGGGCAAGATTTGCGCCTGCGAGAAATAGATCCCTTGTCGTGGTGCCAGCAGTTTGGCTTTAGAATTTACTTCCAACGTTACCTCACTCAGAGATTAGTTTCCCAGTTGGTGTTACTTGGCGTGTTAAGTTGCCTCAAGAGCGTGTCTATCTTATTCGTGGCTGTAAGGTTTGAGATATGCACTATTTATTATATCTCTCCCATGTGTGTTCATGGAATTTGAGCGTGGAATAATCTCCACAGGTTTTCTTGGAAGTATAATTTTTAGTTATACAATTTACTTTTATCCATGCTAGACATCAGTGAGAAAGCCTGAACAACGCCAGTTGCTGTAGAAATGGTATTTAGCTATCTATTTCTGTCTGCGGGAAGCTGCTTTTAACATTCTATTCTAAAAGTAAAATTTTGATGGACGTGAATTTATGGAACCATTTCAAGTAAATATAGATAAAGTTTGGAGAATCTTGAGTTAGTAATGTGGTTAAGCCCAATTCCAAAATTATTATTCAAGAACCATAAGAAGAAATAAAGGATCAAATTTTTATTTCAAATTTAGGATATCAATGATACATAGCATAGATGGAGGCTTTGTGCAGATTGGGCGCCTTGATCTTTTTAATCAATGAACTTCGTAGTTCTTATAGGTTTCATGAACAAGTATTCTCATCATGGGATTCAGTCAATTTTAGCCAGGTGGGGAATTTATTTCCTGATCCCCCATTGGTGTGTGCTTCTGTAATTATTATTCTTTTCAATAGAACTTTATTTCCTCACATTTTTCAGTCTGAACTTTACAAGTTTTCTCTAATAATGCTTTTCTGTTGAAGATGTTTGCCGTGTATTGTTAATTTCTCCTTCCTGACAGTAGTTTGTATTATATTGGTTATGTATGAAATCGACATGTGATTGTGCCAAAGACTTTTCTGCTGGACTTGACAATGGGAAAAGTCAAGCATATCTTTTCGATGGGACACATATTGATACTAGGAGTTTTTCCCCCCCTTATTTCAAGGACCTCAACTTATGGTATTTCCATTTTCTCTGTTGTAGGTAAGAGGGTTGTGCGAGAAAGCTAAGGAGATATTAATGGACGAGAGCAATGTCCAGGTGTGCTTTATTTGGTGCCTTGGTATTGATTTTTTTAATCTGAATTTATTGAGGGTTGTGGAGGTGGATGATTTTTCAGCATGTTAATGTCATGTTTATTCTTTCTGTTACTAGTTGTTTGAACTTTTTGCAATTCTGCATAGCAACATATGCATAATTCAAAATTATAGATGACTATCATTTTGTAAGCAACCTCTATTCCAAATACTTACTTGCATGGAGTAGGTGAAATGTGAAACTATTACATGCACTTCATCATCCCCAATTCTATTGTGGGTGCTAGGCTTAATATGTTTTCCTTCCCTAGTTCTATGTTACTTATCAAGTACTTATGATGTATTTTTCTCTCTCCAGTTATATTAGCTTGTTGTGCAATTTAATGACCTTTCTTCTGGGGTTGATATAATGAAAATTATGTCTGAGTCAAAATTGAACTGTTAATTTGTGATCTGGGTTCTATCTGGCGTTGGGACTTTTATAATAATCATACTCTTGGACATGCATTTATTCTTCTTTTGTATTTGAGGATGGGGTTTTCATGGGTGCTGCTTAATTTTTATGTTTAAATTTTAATACCTTGGGGTTTTATGCACTGCAGCCTGTTAAAAGTCCGGTAACAATATGCGGTGATATTCACGGGCAATTTCATGATCTGGCAGAGCTTTTTCGCATTGGTGGGAAGGTATCTAGTTGCACTGGCAAGATTTGATTATCTCTGTTGAATGAGTAGTGAATAAAACATTTGAAGAGAAAATATATGCTGAAGTGCGAAAGATAAGCTCTTGATTTGCTGATATCGTACACTATAGTTAATGTTGAATTATTATGATTCTCCAAATTTAAGCAAGGGTATTAGGTGATGGATATAGATCAAAGCAAACAATGCAAGTATTTTAACGTGTTTCAGCTTGCTAGATATTTGTCTCATACCCTTTGATTAATTAATAGCTTACATTTATCAATTCAAGCACGTGATCTACTAAAGCAACATTGAATTGTACTATGTTCACCAGACACATTCAATGATATTTTATTTCAAGTTCCCTCTTGGAGTTCTAGACCATGGTTGGTATTGGCATAGATAGTTTAGAGCCTCTTCATTCGTTTTTACATTATATCAAAGATCATTATGTTCTTTATTCCTCGAAAATTTCTCTCTTGGTGCAGTGTCCAGATACAAATTACTTGTTTATGGGAGATTATGTTGATCGTGGCTACTACTCAGTTGAAACTGTAACGGTAAGTATGGTTTTGTATATGTTTAAGTGTACTGTATACTTGATATATAATATGGCAGAAGTTGTGTAGTATAGTCTTGGCACGTTTGCTAGACTTCAATGTATTACAATTCACAACATGCAAGTTCCAAAAGGCAATTGGGTTAAAGCTTTATATACATGATCTAGAATTTGTCTTCTTACTTTTATCTGACTTCTACCTACCACTTTTTATTTTGAGATTATAGACTTGGGGACCCTTTTGAAATTTGTGGTCACGTTTATGACTTAAATATGGCTCCTTATCCATGAGCATTAGACATTAAAATTTGACTTGAAATAAACTAGATATTTAGAGATACAATTAAAAGACCAATCTTGGAATGCTAGTGTGGGCTTGCCCAATAATTCAATGATGTACAACTCCTTCCACCATGTTCTGTCAGCATCAATTAGCCATTCTACAACAATGTTTCCATAGTAGCCCATAGGATGCTTTTTGAGGCAGTATCTCATTTGAAGTCCTAATATGAGTCAATTTGCAGCTTTTAGTGGCACTCAAGGTGCGATATCCTCAACGCATTACAATTCTTAGAGGAAATCATGAAAGTCGCCAGGTAAATGTTTATCATTGTCATTTATGCTGCTTATTTTTTGGTGTATTTTTCTTCGGCTACCCAGATATATAATATTTTGGAAGCTTAAAGTCACAACTTTAGCAAATATTTGTTTGGTACCATCACTCCTTCATATGTTCTGTTATTTTAATGTTTATGACAACGTCATCTCTAATTGTGGGTTATGTTCCTTTATGCAGATAACACAAGTTTATGGGTTCTATGATGAATGCTTAAGAAAGTACGCCTTTTCTGGCTTATCCTCAGCATTTTTCAGCATCCTCCTATGGCCATACTCTTTCTTGTCATTTTATATTCTCTCTTTTAAAACTGTATCGCTTTTATTTAGTACGTCTACTTTCTGATGCCTTTTTTAAGGATGCTTATTAAGTTTTGATCAAATGGTCGCTTCTATACATTTCGACATGTTCCTTGAAATATATTAATTTTTTTTATTTACTTTGTGTTGTTTATATTTGAAGTTGAGTTATTTATCGGAAGATGGAAGTTATGTATGTAATGCACAAGGGAGAGAATACATTTTTTCTGAACCAAGACTCTATCACGTCAACATGAAGTATGAAGAATACTTTGAAAATGCAACCCAAGCCTGACCTGTAAGTTTTATTATCTCATCTCATTTGCAGGTACGGCAATGCTAATGTTTGGAAGATTTTTACTGACCTGTTTGACTATTTCCCGCTGACAGCCCTGGTTAGTATAATTTAAACACCATTGTGTATACTCACACTTTTTATCCTCTCATCGTCATGACTGCCAACTTATGTTTCTGCAATTGATTCTAATGCTTATTTTCCTTTCCCTTATAGGTCGAATCAGAAATATTCTGTCTGCATGGTGGTTTGTCTCCATCCATTGAAACCCTCGACAACATTCGGAATTTTGATCGTGTTCAAGAAGTTCCTCATGAAGGTCCCATGTGCGATCTCCTATGGTCTGACCCAGATGATCGATGTGGTTGGGGAATTTCTCCTAGAGGTGCTGGATATACCTTTGGTCAGGTAATTTGTGTAGCCGACCCCTAATTTGACATCTTCTCTGTTCATGTTTTGACAACGGCCTTTTAGAGCTCTTGTTTTTTTTATTTCTCCAGGACATATCCGAGCAATTTAACCATAGTAATAATTTAAAGTTGATTGCAAGAGCTCATCAACTAGTGATGGAAGGATATAACTGGAGTCATGTAAGAAATTTCCTCCCTTTGATACCTGCATATTGATCTTTTGTTTCGTTGGTGTGGGTAACTTAAAAATTGTAAATTTCACATTACAGGAGCAAAAAGTTGTGACTATATTTAGTGCACCTAATTATTGTTATCGCTGTGGGAACATGGCATCAATTCTGGAAGTTGATGACTGCAAGGCGCACACCTTCATCCAGGTTACACAGCCCCCACCATAAAAAAGAAAAAAAGAACAAAAAAACCTTCTCCAATATCAATCAGTTGTTCCTTTATTCATATCTTACGTTTGTGCTTTTTTTCTCTGTGTCGAAAGTTGTGAAACTCTTTGCTTCTGCAGTTTGAACCAGCTCCAAGGAGGGGTGAACCAGATGTTACTCGAAGAACTCCCGACTATTTCTTATGATGCGGCTATTGTCAAATGAAAATTTCTAGCAGCAGCCGTTTCCAAACATATGTTTTGGCTGTTTTTGCATTGGAGAATTTCAGTTTCCCTATGGTGGGATGGGTGGTTCGGGGGCCAAAAGCATGTAAATTTCGGCAGGTTGCTTCAGGAGGGAGTGCATCCTTGAAACATTCTCAAGGTTTTGCAGAAGGAAGCTATAGGGCTGGCGACTGATTAACTGCATATGTAACATCTCCAGAGAACAATGTATTGAACCTTTTTATTTTTTTAGTAATTTGTTTCATGTAATTTTCTTTTCCCTTTCCTTTGGTTCACGAGTTCGTTTTCTTTTCTTTTCTTTCTTTTTTCTTCCCTGTTAACTGTTTTGTAGGATACTTGTAGTATTTTTGGGGGTTTACAGATGGACCAATAGTTTAATTTCCTTCGATGAGTGCCTTTATTACTCTTTCCAATGATCTTGTGCACCTTGTTCCATTCTTCAGTTTGTCTTTTACAACACTTCCCATTTGGCCCTTGACGACTTGGTAAGTTTACGTTTGATGAATGAACAATCAGGCCCCATGGGGGGTTGCGTTGCATCTTTGTTGTCGAACGAGATAGAATTTGTTATGCAGAAACCTTTGTAATTAGAATAATAACAGTAGCAAGTAGTAATAATCTATATCTCAGATTTTGTGATTTACACAATCTGTGTAAAGAGATTTGACAATATTGCATTAGCTTCTTATAAATGTCAACAAAAGCCAATTTCTGCTTCTGCGATCAATGGAAAACTAGCCTGGGTGCTGAAATAGCTTTGGTGTATGCGAGAGGTAGTGTGAGAAGTTTCTTTGATCTCCCTACATAAGCTCGCTTCGTGAAGTTGTCGTAATCGTTTTCTTCAATTGCATCCAATATTTTTCGGTACAACATCAAGGATGACCATACCTGTGCGCAAAAATGTATCATAACCATATAAAATTTAGTGTTTGAGATCACCATTTATGTCAAACAGATGCAGATAATTGAGTATACACCAAGAAAGACATACCGGCCAACGGCTGGCCTTGTCAAGCTGAGAAGCTCCCTTTTCTGCTAACTTGAAATAGAACCTGGCCCTCTTCAACTGTTCTTTCATGAATTCTCTCCACTTATCGGTAACTCTCATTGACAGAATATCGTCGTCGCATAAACCGAACTGTGCAAGCTCATCTTGAGGAAGATATACCCTGCCTCTCAAAGCACTGAAACAGGCCCCAAAAAACAGTATTAAGATACAAACACGATTCAACTTAGAGAGAGAGAGAGAGAGAGAGAGAGAGAGAGAGAGAGAGAGAGAGAGAGCGCTTACTCCTCTCCCACATCTCTAAGGATGTTGGTAAGTTGATTTCCAATTCCCAAGTGGAGAGCAGCACTGTAGACAGTTTGAGTAGGAAGCGGAGAATCGGGTGCAATTCCCATAACTGGCACGCTCATTAGGCCCACAGTTCCAGCCACATAGTAACAATACAAATACAGCTCTTCAAAATTATCATATCTACACTTTCTGGTATCCATTCTCATGCCCTCAATCATGTCTCTGAACGGCTGAAAAAAAGAAAAAGCATGAAGCCAAACCAGCCAGAAAAAAACTGAAACTTTTCTTTCAGCTCAGCAGCACCTTCATGTGTATGGGAAATTTGGAGACGGTGTGACTCAAAGCAGCATCCAGCAAGTCATAGGGGCACCCCTCAAAAATATCTTGCAAACGTTCTTCCCATCGATCGAGAACTTTTGGGTTCATGTAAACAGCATTGGGGCCGTCCACAAGTTCATCTGTTCTCCTACACCAAACTTCACCAACAGAAAGAAAAAGGTCGAACCTTTTCGAAATTGTATTTTAACTTTTGATTTTCTTTTCTTACCATATATTGCCCAGATTGCCCTTTGCCGCTCCTTCGTCATCAGCAAAGTTCCCAAATAGAAGGTCTTAGCATATTCCGCGCAGATTCTCCTGCAACTCTCATAAGCTTTTTCAAGAAACGAAGGATGGAGCCGCAGCTCCTTACACGAATCTTCGCCGGAAAAAGGGTTGGCCTGAGATTGCCTCTGGACGATCTCTTCGACGTGCAAGTCGGCGAGAGGAATGCCCTGTTTCGACAACGTCGGAAAATTTAATCTGCGAAAGTTTTTGCTTTTGGGTTCTGCGATTACATCAGCTCTGCTCATTATAAGTGTGGATCGTCGTGGAAGGAACTTTGTTCCTTTGCGATCTCCGATGATTCGAGGGTTTGGAGCGAGGGAAAATGATGAACTCATTTTTATAAATCTTTGGAGAAAACCCAGAAAAAGAAGATGCAATTCCAAAGCTGCAAAAGTGTGTAAAAATTTGAAGCGCTAACTCTTAACTATTTTGATAGGTGAAGGAGGTATATTCTAATGGAGTTCAATGGCATAAACAGAGTATGATTGGAAATGGGAATTTGGAGTTGTGAAGAACAGGACAAAGAAAATGCCTTGTCTCATAATAAACAGACAGTGGGTTGAGGAAAATGCCAAGAAAATTTGTCCTGTTTTTGGGACTTGGTTTTTAGAATCTGACCTCTGTTGATACCCTTCGGAGAACTCTTTCAAGTATTGGGTTCTTCAGCCATGTTCTCTGTTAATTCCCATCTCTTCTCATGGTTTAACAAATTTCAATTTAATATCTCATGTTTTAACTATTTTCTTTTTCGGTTGATATTAAATTTACTTAATAAGACAGAAATTTAGAGAAAAAAATTAGCTGAGGGAAGTTTCTCATTCCTCTAAAGTGAATAAAAATTCCAACTTTTTATATTCCTTAACTAATTGTTCCTCTAAATTTATGTCAAGTTACCAATTACATCATGTTATATAAGCTTATGTAAATTTTATATAAGCGTTTATCAATTCTAACACTCCTAAATAATTGAGAAATGTTAAAATATAAGGATTCAAAGACAAATATTTTTATTAGATTTCTAGATCAATATTGTTGCATATGAACTAATTTGATAACGTGATTAGTTGACCATATGAAGTTAAAAATATTTATCTATGTTTATGGGTAGCTTTTGATAGTATAAAGCGTTGTTCTTATTTAACATGTGGACTCTTCTGTTACTTTAGCTCGTTAAAAATTTTCATAATATTACGAGTTGCGTGATTCATAAAGAGAAGAAACCATATATTAAAAGTCAAACAAGGTCGGTAAAAATCATTCAAATAGTTTTTAATAATTTGGATTTTTTTAATCAACATATCTTTATTAACTGTTGAACATGATTTAATAATTAGAAATGATTTATGGAACAATTATTCAAATGCATTACAATTTTCTTTTATTATTTATGTGATTCATAACGGTCGATTCAACAAAAGGAATCAGAGCCGAATATATGTTTAATGAAATCATAAATATTTGGTTGAACTTCACAATGCGTAGCGTTTGTAGTCCAACGGTTAGGATAATTGCCTTCCAAGCAATAGACCCGGGTTCGACTCCCGGCAAACGCATTTTCAGTAAATTTTCAAATAAAAAATTTCCTTGCTCTTATATTCTCTTGGCCCTTCTCCTGTTTCTTTTTCTTTTTTCTTTTAATAATTAATTAATTTTTTTTTTAAACATTTCTTTCACTAATTTGATTTCTGTTTCTCTAGTTTCCAAATCCTTCATCCATCTTTTTTTTTTTTAATTTAAAACAATTGCGTCTTTATCGTGGATCACTTCCATATGGTTCTTTTTAGCAATTATCCCCCAAATTTGCATTCTTATAAATACCATTATTGGTTGTTCAAAAATTGTGTCAACCAGTTTCATAATTAAACCTAAATAAGTAAATATAACAAACTAACAATTATTAATTAATTACGATGTTATTTTATTTTATTGTTTTTTTTAGCAAATGAAAAGCCCTTAAAAAAAGATCCCAACTTTTGTCCATTTTATAAAAGTGGGCTAAATTGCAAAAGCAAAACTTTCCTTGCACTTCTCGTTCTCTCTACCCTTCCTTTACTTATTTGATTTCTGTTCTTTGGTTTCCAAATTAAAAAAATTCCCTCT